TGAGCTTGCTCAAGTGAATCTAAAGTGAGCAGGGGTGGTGCTCGTGAATTTGTGCACACATTGAAAACAGGAAGGGAAAGTGAGTCAGATTGTCCAGTACACTCTCTGACAGCTGTCATCTTGACAGATTCGTAGTAATTTCATAGAGGATGGGTGTTGTCTTGAATCTGCCGTTTGTAGTAATATATACTTTTTTGTAATATATGACTGTGTTCTCTGTTCAGCTGGAACTGGTCTGGCATGTGTTGGAATTGATGTGGCAGAAGCTGAAGTTGGGCCCCTGGGTGCTCTGCATGTATGTGCACCTGTCCGTGTTTTACTTCCTCTTTGGCAGGGAATGAGAGTGCTTGATTTCTTATTTCTTGAATCTAAAGCTTTCAATTCTCTGTTTTAGTAAGCAGCAGGGCAGTTCAGAAGAGTGGGCGATGTTTCATGTGATGTTTCGCATTCTGGAAGCAACTAAAGGGCTCTGTCTCCCCCTCCCTCCAGGTAAGAGGAAGCCTGACTGAGACAATCTGAGAACACTTAGAAAACAGTTCCAAATCCTAATGAGCTGCCTTTTTGTCTACTACCTGCCTATTAAGACAGAATCCTAACTGAACCTTTTGAGTTACTATTTGGAACGCTCTACATGGGCAGCAACTCACACAAATATCTCTCCTTACATGAAGAGACTGAACTCACAATTGATTCCAGTAGAGTTTGACATTAGTATTTCTCGCCATTTAATGAAATAAAAGTATATTCGCTCTATCTGAAGTCACACTGTCTGAGTAGGTACTATGTTTGATTTGAAACTTACTTCACGACTTTCTATGTAGTATAAATGTATGTATGAATGAAATTCAAACGCACTACATTTGTCATGGGACCGATGGTATCACTTTGTGTGTTGGGTCACAAAAATTAGATTTTTGCATTACATTTTTAGCATAAATTAAGCGTCTTCAACAGCCTTTTGTTGGGAGCATGTTCATGCTATTTAGTTAGGCTGCTGTTTTTTCTTTCCATGTTTAGACATATTTAGACTTGTTTAATGATGCCAAAGGGAAAAATGGAATCTTTAGTTCTCCCATGGCTGACCAAAGACATTTGAATCCTCTGAAGATTAATCAAAAGAGCATCTCTCCAAAATCCAAATCAATCCCATGTAGTTTAGCTATTGGGTGTGTCTGATTTTCTATGACCCAGTGAAGGAAAAAAGCTGTTTCTGAAATCTGAGTTGTGCCAGATCTATCTGGGTGGATCCACTCTTTGACACAAATGCTTTGGCCTGGGCTCAGGCCTGCCTGGAAGGCGATTAGTAGTGGAGTCGTTGACCCAGTGCTTCAGTTCTGTCTACTCTATCCATCACAAAACTGGTTAAATTGCTTAAGTGGCTCATTATGTGTGCATTTTTAGGTTATTCTACACTGTTAAGTGTGCTCGGAGTCCGTTGTCTCCCACAGCACACTTTTCTCCAGTATGTGGACCACGGCCTTCTTCAGCTCACAGAACCATTTGTTTCACGCCTTATGACAGGTACTAATTTAAACACACATTTTAATGTACCCTGTTCTGAAAGCTGTCCATTTATATATTGAGTACATACATAAAGTACTTAGACTTTATGAACTCCTGTGCTTTCCTACAGCATATTCTTGGTCACCACATTAAGGTCTCCAATAGGCAAAAACTTATCCCTGACCTGGAGAAAATTAATTAGATTAATTATTCACATTATTAAAGAAATACGGTCATTTAGGAGCCAGTGTTTTATTTTAAGTACAATGTTATGTTCTCTCACTCTTTCTGTCTATCTACCTCATGACAGACTTGGATAACAGTGATGCCAATGAGCAGTTGAAGTTTAGTATTCTGAAAAGACTTCCTGAGGTAAGTTGCCTACTTAACTCTTCTCTTGAAATCTGTCTTATGGAGTCCAACCCCTGCCTCACTTCTCACTCAGAGCTTGAAGCTGCTTTTGTAGATACCAGAATCAATCCTGTGTAAAAGAAAAGGAATGTGAGCATGTTTGTGTTCATGTGTTGTGTCACAGCATGTGCTTGGGCTCCAGTTTTTTTTGCCAATTTTGCAAACCAATTTCTCCCTTGCTGATTAGTCCTGCTGAGTTCTATGGTAGTGCACTCATCCATTATTGATTTCCCACGTCTTCCCCTTGTTTTGGAAACATTTTGGTTCCTAGTGTTATTGTAAATGTTTCATCAGTGCAAGTTATTCCAAAGAATCAACATTTTCTTCAGAATCTATCATCAAAATAGATGATACTCTTTCTCTGGGATGGGAAAATGTAAAACAATAGCCAAATAGTTGTAGTTATAGTAATGCACTGCAGCTTTCCTAAAATGTTGACAAGAGTTAATACAGTATTTTAATGGCAGTGGCAGATAATACTAATGTTAATCCAATCAATTCCCAACGTCCCACCCAACATTTTTGCTTAACGAATATTCTATTTGAATCACGAAAAGTCACATTACAGGTTGTGAATGACCTTTCATGTTGCCTTCATGTTTTTGTAATTAGCATATGGAGCAGAAAGTGAGTCAGCAGTGGGATCACCCCATCACTTCTGCATGCATCTCCAGAGAATACGTCAAGACTCTGCTGGAAAAACACTCAGAGAACAGGGTGAGTATGGCAGGGGGCAGGCCTGGTTCAGAACCAGAACCAAATTATGAAAGGCTTATAGCCTATTATGGCCTATAGCCTAGAAAGCGTGCAAAGAAATTACTCACAAGCGTGCAGAATTCAGCACTGTACAAAAACTCTGGCGTTTTGAGCGGTGAGTGGATCCTGACTAACTTAAACACTTCTGATTAGTCATTGTGTTTAAGAAATCAACTGATTTGGCTATGATTGACTACTTTATTCAATGCTACAAAACACGTTGTAAATAGAAACCTTTGATGCTCTTCAGAACGCAAACACAAATACACTGGAGCATTTGTCAGTTTCACCAGTATGCTATTACTACAGTTTGAGCTGAGGGGGCTTTTGGTTTCATTTGAGGCTTTCTTTTTTTAGAAAAACACTATGGCATAAAACTGGTATGAATATCTGCCAAACAGCTGAAAATAATACTTGGATGAAACCGCTTATTAGACTAGACGCTGAATGAAATATTACAACTGCGGTTTAGATGTTCAGTTCTTAATCGACAAAGAATCAAGTGTTTTGATTCTTAGGAAACTGAGTCATGGACTTGGCTCTTTGATCAGAACAAATGTTCCCACATTTACCAGCTAAACGCATGATATTTCTTTTAGGACTCTGCTCTCTTGGACTATGGCAAGTCATGTTCCTATCCTGATTTCCTGCCCCTAAACTACCTCACCAAGATTCTCTGGAACAGGGAGGAACAAGGTACACGATTTCAGAGATGACGTTATTCATAAAATATGTTATAGGATGTTGTAGGATAAATGTTGCCATTTACTGTAAGGTAATAATAGTGTGGGTGTTGTATTTTAGCTCAGAACCCTTTTGAAGAGCAGGAGAATGTGGATGTCAGGTTTGTGGAGGAGATGGCCTTGAAGCAGACACAGATCAAGCTGGGCTTCGAAGTCAAGTAAAAACAGCCCAGTACAAATGGTTAAAGTGGTAAAAAGGGAAACAAGGAAAAAATTCTGAGAAATTAGGGGGAAAAAAGTGCCACCTGGCCAAAGAAAAAAGCTTGATTTATTCGGGTGAATGTAGTAATGTACAGAAATCTCAATGTTAGTGACATCTTACTAAAAACTGAAGCCCAAAGTCATGCTGTTGACCAAAGATTATTTCCCGGCTGCCAGTCTGCTCTTTAATTATCATATTTTAGTACCCAGATGGACACGTACTGACTCTACTGATGCCAATACGTATGGGGAATATTATGCACTTTTCTATACACACAGATGCGATGGAAGAGCACCAACAAAAAAAAACATTTTTCCTGCAGATGTTATATGGGGTCAAATGGGTACATTTGTGAATATTTCACAAACAAGAAATAAAAAAATAATATATTCTTTATACTCTTCATGCTTAGTTTTTATATTCTACAAAATAAGATGCTTCTTGTCGATAGCAATTTCCTAAAAGGTTATTTTATATTGCTGCTATTGTATGTTTGCAATTATACTGTTTAGCCTGTAAGGCATGCTATTCACTTTGCAGCTGTGTTTAGATGGTTATTGGTTACTTTTCTGTAAAGCACTTTGAGCTATTACGTGTATGAAAACCACACTATTAATGGAGTTGATTAAGATATAGTTGTGCCAAGATCAGAGGTTGGTGAAATGCTAAAGTATAAAACCATCCAAATGATTTGGCTATAAATTGGCCATGCAATCATTAAGCAAATAATTTTTCTTGCCTCCAAATATTTTTGCAAATGTAATTATAAAATACTGAAAATTGTTTCTCTTCAACATTCTGAATTTATTACACATTTAAAAAAAAAAACACAAAATGGGACTTAAAAATGAGCATTACTATTTTTCAATTTTTGATTTAATTTTTGATTATGTTCATATTTCATTTTAAATTTAAATTGTGTCTAGTCCCATATATTTTCGAATGGGGCCTGTGCATATGTATGTATATGCATTTATATGTATACACTGTGGGATGCTCAATAATGAATGTTTTTTTTATGTGAATCTTTCATAATAATCTTTGTGATATCAAATGAGAAAACCATTCCATAGGATGTCCCTTTTAGTTCTGTAATTAATTTCTCTGTATGATTCAGCTGTGCGTGGCTCCAGAGGGCATAGCATCATGTGTAACTCCTCTCCCACCCCTCAGCTCTGGCAGATCTCTAAAGAAACTGTCTGAATTCCCAGCATTTTGCCAGAAGGAGCCTCACTGGGCTGCTAAGCATAGAAATTACCAAATGACAAACAAGTCTTATGTTAGCATTACTAGTTCTGAGGAAATGGACAAGATTCCTCAGGAATGGGAGCACATCTGGACTTTTATTTTTGTATCTGTAAGCATCATGATTTTGCAGACTCACTCTAGATCTCAATGGGTTTGTACTTTGGTTTGCGGATGTGGCGAATATTGGCACCGGGTTCGGTGGGTTTAAAGGGGGCCAGGGCTCCGTAGTGTTTGGGCACCGGCAAAGGATCGTCAATGGGGATGTAAGCATTTGGTCGAAGCTCAGCCGTGGTGTAAACACCGTTTGGAAACTCGTCTTCCTCAGCCAGCTAACAAACACAAACATAAGAATACTTCAGTATCACACAAACCTGATGTTAATAGGTGGTTTAAATATTTACCTAAATATTTCAATTAAAGTACGATTCAAAACAGAGAGACATCTGTGCTTTAGCACCGACCTGATCCAATACCACTGCCCTTATAATAGTAGAATGAATTTAAATAGACCAATCATGACTGAGATTCTCTATAAGGACAAATCTCATTAAAGCATGTCTTGGTCCCTTCATGCTAAAATCAATCAAAAGTTATATTTTCCTTGAGGACATTTTTATGATTTTTTTTTTCATTGTGTAATTATTGTACATTTCCTTTACAAATTCCCATTACTGAAATGTGTCTGGAAATTAAATAATAAATAAATAAATAATAAATAATTATTTTGAACGGTGATTCTTATTACATTCTAAATACTGTAATGCAGTGACAAATTATACAATAATTAAAAAAAAAATTTACTTAAATATTAC